ATATATTAGTTTGAAAACAATAAATACAATGAGGCAAACTACAATAGAATCTTATCTTAATCAATGATTATATAAATTTTTTTTTTAGTGATAATAATGTAATAATTAATTAATTTTTATTCTTTATTGGAATCACGTGCAACCAATGAAATGCTTTGTTTCTCTAAGTGCACGCTATCACTCATTCCCAAGGGGGTGCACCTAGAGGGAGTTGACTGTATGTTTTTCTTTTTTGATGGCTTCTATTATCTTATTCGTGGTCCTTGACTAAATTTTGATTTGTGGTGTTACTTCCTCGGAAGAGTTCCTTTGTTTAGTGTTCCTAACCGAAAATCAATTTTTTTTACGAATATTTGAAAATCAATTTATTCAAGGATATTTGAATATATATATAATTTATTTCGTAATTATTTCGGATATTCGTAATTATTTGGATACTATTATATTCTGGTTGAATAATCTTTTGACTAGATTGCTTGATGCGTCATATTAAGTTTTTTTTTTTAGAAAAATGGGTATGTTGATCATCCCGAATTCAAGCAGGAAGAAATTTTATCACCTACTGTTCCTTTTTTTATTAAGTAAACATGCATGCTCCAATATTTTTACAATTATAATCCCTCGTGATATAAATATATATTATGCAAAAAACTCGATTTTGGTCAGGAGGCCCTGTGACTGTTTTTTTGTTGGAAAACCCCCCATATGTTCGTTAAACTTTTTGTTTCTGTATATTATCCGCATATTTGTATAATATTGTATAAAACTATTTAACAGTCAAACGATATGTCACAGGAAGTATTATTAAAATACCAACAATACTAATACATAACGGTGCAGATCATCTATAATCAATTAATTGTAACAATTGTTCAGCTTCAAAATACTAAAACAAAAAATTTTTATATCATTTCAAAAAAATTAACCGATAAGTTTTATTGTTCATGACTCAAGCTTCAAAACTTATCGGCTAGTTTTTTCTTAAACTAAAAAATTGACAGAACCTTAGCATTTTAAAATTCCAAATTTTGTTATACGTTTAAGAAATTGAGACCAAGTAAATTTCGTGTAACAAA